AAAGCCGAGTGGACCGAAAGCMGCTTTTGTTTAGCGCTCGCTGATTTTAGGCTGAATTCCGCGAGTCCTTTGSGACTATACTGGTACATATTTGCTTTTKAATTTCGTAATTTTATTTGTGCTTAAGAAAGTGAAAAAAATACCTTGATTCCTAAGATGAAGAATATTGTGCTACTAKCTCTGTGCTAAATGTTTAAAAAAATATACGGAAATCATCGATAAACAAAAAGTTCGATACTTGACTGAATGAATGAATGAATTWCATTTTTGACGCTTATTTTTTGCATTCGTCAGCACTGCGTTCGCTCGGCTTTGAACTGCCTGTCCTAAGAGTATCTGAAAATTCACACATTAATTCCCAGAATTTCTAAAAAATTGAAAAACTTTCGAAAAGTTAAAGCTTGAAATAGCTGAATACCTAAACAAAGTAATTAGACATCTTTTGAAATATTTTTAGTACCACTAAACTCTAATCTTCCTTTTGATTGACTCTCAATTAATTCATGAATTGATTTTGTTAAAATTATTTYCTCCTCTACTAATTTCAGCACTATCAAGTCAAGCAAGCACTCCATGCGCATTGAGGGAATATCCAGCTGGTCTAGTTTGTGTTTGTAACGCCACCTATTGTGACTATTTAGAGAATCCATCACTAGATAATGAGAAAGAGTTTGTCATTGTCTCCTCATCAAAGGTAAAATTCAGAAATTTSAATTTTATAAATTCTTCAATCAAGGATTCACCAATTATTTTACATCCCTGTGATAAACAAGATTAAATTTGCCCAAAGAAAGCATTTTTTAAGCATTAATTTCTATGACGACTTGTCCTATTAACATTAATTTTTTTCTGAAGGATTTTTTCGAAAATGGGTAGTATCAAATTACAAACAAACTTCSTCTATTGCTTTTTCCGAAATAATTGCCAGACTTTTATTATTTTGCTATGAATACTCAGGCTAATTAATCAAAATAATCGAATCATGTTACTCGTAAAAGGATATTTGTACAATTTAAATATAATTTTCAGGCCGGTCTGCGTTTTGACACTACAAGCGGTGAAATTAATGCTTCCGACTTTACTCAAGTTGTTGACTACAACGAGAGTCGGCAGAATGTAACTAAAGGGAAAACTGTGTTTGAGAAAGGTAAATAAAAACAAAATTTACACAAATAATTTAAAGTTTAAAATAAAAATTATTTTTTTGAAARTAACCATATCACAAAAATTAGATGGATTACCCTTAATTTCGGCAGCTTTTTTTTTAAATACAGAATTCTTCATATTAATTTTCATTTACTTAATATTCTCTCAGCGGCGCCACGTACGGTGACCATTCAAGTGGATCGTGAGACGCATTTTCAAAACATCACAGGTTTCGGTGGTTCGTTTACTGGCGCCGTTAGTTATATTTTGGATAATTTGTCACAAGATATACAAGATCATATATATAAGTATGACCACCCTCCTAATACAATGCTTTCAAATGAGTTGTAAAAGTATGTCACAATTTATTTATCAGATCATTCTACTCCCCACACGGTATTGGCTTCAATCTAATGCGCACGTCAATCGGTGGTTCTGACTATGACCTGGCACCCTGGGCGTACAATGAACTGCCCGAAAACGATACTATCCTCAGCAATTTCACACAATTAGATCCACGTGATGAAAAGAGAATTGAACAAATTAAACGTTTRAAGSTAGTAACTAACGTGAAAAATTTGCGTATCAAAGCCGCTGCGTGGAGTCCTCCACGATGGATGAAAACCAATAATAAATGGACTGGAATGAGCCGCTTGAAGGAAGAATACTATCAGACATGGGCTGATTATCATGTTCGTTGGATTGAACTTTGGGAAAAGGCCGGTCTACCTATTTGGGCCATATCGACCGGAAATGAGCCATCCAACGGTGTATATTTTATGATGTTTGTAAAATTCATGAGTTTAGGTTGGACACCAAGGAAGCAGGTAAATGTGAAACACTATCTCTCTGTATATGTGCTTATGGAATATGCTATGCTCGAATTTAAACTTTGGAACATGTTCCACTGAAAAATGTCTAATTTTGGAAACTTGAGTACTGAAAGTCGATCAGATTTTAGGAACTATTTAACACTAGTTTAATTAATAGGCCGTATGGTTATCTGATAATCTGGGTCCTACAATACGCTCCAAATATCAAGACCTGGTTATATTCGGAAATGATGATCAACGTTACACCTTCCCATTTTGGTTCAAAATGGTGAGYATWYACGCTAACCTTCATAAAATATTTTACCTCATATGCAATACTGACACATTTTTTGTTAACAGATGAATGCTATTCGGTCCGATTCTGTGGACTATCTCACAGGGCTCTCGGTGCATTGGTATTTTGATGATATATTCGAGCCTGCTTTCATTGACGTCGCTCGCAAAGAGATGCCAGACAAAATTATGCTTGTTTCAGAATCCTGCATCGGTGATAAGCCATGGCAGTCAGCTGTACCCATTTTGGGTTCCTGGAAACGTGGTGAGAAGTTTGCACGTAATTTCCTGCAAAATCTTCAGCACGATTTCAACGGGTGGATCGATTGGAACATAGTTTTGGATGAACAGGGTGGACCGAATTATGTGAACAATTTTGTCGATGCTCCGTCAGTTGCCAATATGACAAGTAAAGTATCTTTTAGTATTATTTTTAATGATTAGAGGTTTTTATAAAGTATTATTCACTTTCAGACCTCAACGAGTTTTACAAACAACCAATGTTCTATACAATGGGTCATTTCTCAAAGTTCATACCGGAAGGTTCAACTCGAATTGCTGCAGAGCGTACAAACGTCAATGTGGATACAGTTGCCTTTTTAAGACCGGATGRCAGCGTGACTGTGGTCATCTTCAATAGGTTTGTAGAATGCATCCTTATGAGTCTTGTATTGAATGTAGTAATTAATGGYSTTCTTTTTAACTTTCAGTGGCTACGCCAGTGTCAACGTTGAGGTTAGGGATAAAAAACAAGGCTCAATTAAGATTAATATACCCCAAAAATCAATTCATACCATTCTTTATAATTGAACTTTTTTATATTTCTCAGTTTTATAAATAAACAAGTTATTCGTTAAAGATTATTTACATATGTATATGTATATATATACATCATTATGTAGAGTATATGTCGTTAAAATATATATTATGTTATATAAACTTACGGAAATTTCAATTAACGTTTTCGTGGCTTAAAATATGGCAGAAAATTAGCTCAAAATATTGTATCCCTCGTTTTTATTAACAATGTAGTTTTGAGAAGACTGGGATAGGTATATGTACAGCTACGGCAACATTTGATTTTGAGAATTTCCATAATCGTTAATTAATGTTATTAAGAACCATTTAGTGTTGCATAAATGAACAGCGTGCTGAGTTGCCATGTTCGTTTGTCTGTCCGTCTGTATTTATGCGAGTTAGTCTCTCAGTATTTAAGATATCGATCTAAAACTTTGCTTACGCAATTTTCTCCCTAAGTAACGGTTCATAGTTTCGAAACAGTGATTTCGGATCACTATAGAAAACTGCTGCAATATAAACTGAATGATCAAAATCTAGTTTTTGCATAAACAACCTTTTTATTTGACATCATATCTTCATTCCTCTTCCATTATTCGCGGCTCTTGGCTCTTACGTAGCCGTAGGTAACAATCTGAACAAATTGTTCAGATCAGACCTATGTATGTATGGCATTTAGGCGTCATTCAAACTGACGGTTAAAATTCGAGAAAAATATATGTTTTCAGAGGAATATTTTTTTGAGTATCCTTAATTGAACCTCGAGCTTTATTCCAAAATAAAATTTCAAGAAGCTTAACTGCTTAGAAATATTCAAAACAAAATGGATGTAGATCATGAAAAGAGGACAAATTCCAAAAATATTATATAATTTATTAAGTATTGCTTAAAGCAATGCATGATAATATGACAAAAATTGGTAGTCGACAAAATTACTTCGGGACAATGTTAATAGATAGACCAAAAAGTATCCTATTTAGTTAATAGGGCGTCACCGCTGAGCATATATTATTTAAGAAACTAGTGCCATAGCAGCGGTATAAATAATTAGAAATATAAGTGATGGGAACGGATGACCTTTCTGTTCAACAAATCAACGGAAGTCTGCCCGAATACTTTCCGGCACACAGTTAACGATTGATTTAATAATAAATATTGGATAGTCGAAAAAGCATTTTCGAATTTCTAATTAAACTACAAATTTTTTTTAAACAATTAAATAAGTAAACAAATATGAAAAATTTTGGTCGACCACTTTTTGTTATTTTTCCGCTAGAGACATTATTCCATCAGTGTAAATCGAAATTTCGAGATTTCCAGAACGGAAGTTCCATTGTTGTGCTACAGGAACTGATAGAGCATCGTGTCCGTAAACTTCACAAATTTGATTGGTGGCTTACGTGGCATTCTTCCTTTTTATATATGTATAAACATTTTAAATCAGAATATAGCGAATTTCCTCATTATTTTCACTAATTTTTGAACAGCTGTAACTTTTTTCAACTTGCCCGAATTTAATTTTAGATGAAATGAAGCTTAAAATCTCCCCTTTTCGACACTATATGGTATGACACAATGATCTTGGTAGCACTTTAGATATACGACTGCAACGACATTTATTGACAAAATACGAAAAAACTTTTTCGACAACCAATAAATTCTAACTGTTCTGACTTTCTCGCCATCAAAGTACTCGTCGTAAGTATTTTAGTCGTTAATTTGTAAAATTATCGCCAGCGTAATGAAACGAGTACGAATACCAGCTAACCATATTACTCTCCAGCACGAAAAAGGTTATCAAAACAAATGTCATTAAAACAAATAAATACGAAAATGTAGGAACAAACGTGAAGATAATGAATTGATAAGCCAAAGTAGAGCCGCCTGAGAGAGCTGTGATGCCAGTAGGTATTGAATTGCGAACGAGTGTGGTTTACACGAATCGCGTGYTCACAATTAATCAGAGATYTACGTTTTCGAATGAAGTCRTGCTTGCTCCGAAACTAGTGAATTATACAAAAAGCAGAGGAAGTGCGAAAATGATTTATAAAATATTTTTGTTATTGATCTTATGTTGGAACTACGATAAATTTACTGGTAAAAATATTAGAAATATGAAAAGAAAGGATAGAAAGGAAAGGAGAAAGGATTTGATAATGTAATTATTAAAGTGGTTTTGCAATTTCAGCTAATGCAAGCAGTGATTGTACACCGCGACGGACCAAGTTCGGCTTAGTGTGTGTTTGCACATCGGAGCACTGCGATTATTTGGAGAATCCCCAGCCCAGCTCAAACGAGCTTGTAGTAATTTCTTCAAGCAAGGTACCAGCCAATGTTTATATGAAATTAAAATAAAATCTGAATCAATTTGCTCTCTTTACTCTTCCACTCTCTTATATTATGTAAAACTTTCATATTTCTTGTACACACCCACCATCCTCCCTTGCAGGAAGGCCTACGCTTCGCTGTAAGCACGTTAAACTTTGGCGAAATCAATACAAAAACAATTACAGAGACAAGTTTAAATGAAAGCAACTTCGATTTCGAAAATTCAGCGGTGATCGTCGATAGTCGACAAACTTTTGCACAGATTTTGGTCGATACGAGCGAACGTGAGTTGTGTATTTACAAATTCGTTTTCACTTTTTTATTAAAGAGCGTTCATCACAGTTTTAACCTCCAGATTTACAGCGAACAATCCGCTTAAACTACGAGTGAATCGCTCGGTGGAATATCAAAAAATTACAGGCTTTGGTGGTGCATTCACCGGTACGGTTTCACATTTATTGGGACAATTGGATCAGAAGCTCCAAGATCACATTTATAAGTACGCTTCAATATTTAAGCAATTGTCATTAGTGCAGCTTTCGAAACAAATAATATTGAAATTACAATTCACTTACTGTAGGTCATATTATCATAAGGATGGTATCGGCTTCAATATGCTACGCACCCCAATTGGTGGCTGTGATTTTGATCTTGCACCTTGGGCTTATAATGAGGAGCCTCGTGATGATCCCAAACTTTCAAATTTTCAAAAGTTAGATCCTCGCGATGAAATTAAAGTCCAACAAATAGAGCGCTTAAAATCAGTATCCGATTTGGAAAATTTAAAAATCATGGCCCTGGCTTGGAGTTCGCCAACTTGGATGAAAACAAACGGAATGTGGTCAGGCATAGGATTGTTGAAGACTGAATACTATCAGGCTTGGGCTGATTATCATCTGAGGTGAGTTGAAATGTTATATTCACATAATACACATATTTATCTAGGGTTTCATAAGGTCAAAAGGTCAAATTATCTCATTCATGTTGATGTTGTTATTGTAAGAGCAGAAAACATTCCTGAAGTAATTTTGAGGAATGGTACCTAGTTGACAGTCTTTAGTCTGGTAAAAATGCTGGCTCTTTCCGATTATTTAGACTAGGCTGTCGTGGAAATTTAAGATTTCAAAAGTTTAATTACCTCTTCCGATGGCATGATAATTATAAAAGTTGTTTTTCGTCGTAAAATCTGCTTTAGAAACAAAATAAAATACAGTTAATCCATTCTGGTTAGATGATTCATACATGTATACCTATTAATAAATAAATAAATTCCTATAAATGTTCAAAGAAAGGATTGTTAAGTTCAAACATCCATTATAAATGTAAACATGTATAAATATTCATCTTTTTGCAGATTTATAGAGTTAATGGATGCTAAAAATATGCCGATATGGGCCATATCAACTGGTAATGAGCCGCTTAACGGAATCGCCTTTTTCTTTTTCGTACACTTCATGAGCCTTGGTTGGATACCAAGAAACCAGGTACTTTTTAAAAATATGGTGACATTTACCCTAATTAAATTAAATTAATTAATTAAAATTACAATTAATTAGGCAGTTTGGTTGAATGACTTCCTTGGACCTACAATTCGAAAATCCAAATTCAAAAATGTTCTGATATTCGGAAATGATGATCAACGATTTTCTTACCCTTCGTGGTTTATTCAAGTGAGTACGCGAATATAAAATGACATTTTCAATCAAACTAAACTCAACAACCTTTTCATGAACTGATTATAACAACAAATATAATATGTGAACCAAACATTTTCTGAGAAGTTTTATTTTATAAGTAAAAAAAGTCCAAACATTTTGAAAGAGTTCTCATCTACTTAATTAAACTCAATAGAAGTCGGACGGGATAAATTTGAAATCTTTTGCATTAAAAAAAATAATTCGACCTTTTATTAAGCAAAATCCCGACTAAAAAAATTAATATTAAAATCCAGACATCTTTCAAGTCCATATTTGAACGTGGCTTGTATCTTTCCAGTTTTGTGTTTTTTTTTAACTCATATACTCAAAATATAAACTAAACTCTTACTGCTTTATTTCTGTTAAGATGAATCGCACTCGCCCAGGTGTTCTTAACTATCTGGACGGCTTAGCGGTACATTGGTATTGGGATGAAATGTTTGCACCCAATCTAGTAGATTTAACAGTTGCGCAATTGCCAGGCAAAATTGTGCTGAATACTGAATCATCCATAGGAGACAAGCCATGGCAAACCCATGGACCCGAACTTGGTTCGTGGGAACGGGGTGAACAGTACGCACGTGATATCTTGCACAACCTGCAACATTCCTACAATGGCTGGATCGATTGGAATATCGTTTTAGATGAGCAAGGTGGGCCGAATTACGTGAAGAATTATGTGGACGCGGCTGTGATTGTGAATGCCACAAGTAAGTGTGAGCATTTAAGTGAAATTTTTTTTTTTTTTTTCAATTGAAATCCGATGTTTTCTTAACAGATCGCGCTGAGATATACAAGCAGCCGATATTCTATGGCATGGGTCACTTTTCGAAATTCCTGCCCGAGGGTTCGGTGCGTATTGAGGCGAGAATGCTAAGCGTGGCTGTGGAGGTGGTTGCTTTTAAGCGGCCCGATCAACGCATCGCTGTGGTGCTGCTCAATAGGTAGGTGTGCCATTCCATATTTAAGTATGTATGCCTACGTACTCTTAAGTGTTTAAAATTCGATTTATATATAACAGTGGGTATGTTTGCCACGCGTCTTTGTGTTTATATTCGAACACAATTTATTTTCAAACGCATTTGTTGTTCGTTGTCTGTTGTTGCATTGCTACTTAACTCAATGTTAACACACTTTTATGACGAGTTTATTAAAATGCAATTAAGATGCGAAGCATTAACACACTTAWGTACTTATGCAATGCACACWCAAACATACATACATATATACTCATTACTATTTGACGTACTTACGTGGGCTCTTGATATGTTGGCATGCTCCCATCTATAAGTGCATTCCCTTGTCATTAAATTGCAATATTTTCTTAAAAGTGCTCTATTCATATATATAGTRTATATGTACATATATGCATATGCATGTTATATACCTAAATTAATAAATATATGTATATGTGGGTACATAGTTATATGTTCATAAGAGTTTTCGACAGTTCAGTGGTGAAAGCGGTTCCTTCTGTACACTTTGGCTGCGTTGTTTGTTGAATAAAATTTGAAGTAAAGCAAAATGCGCATAATGCCTTAAGACTGCATTACACGAAGTATAAAAGAGCTTATTTTCTCCAAAGTTTGACAAAAATGTGAACTCGCGCTTAAATTGTTTTCAATTTAAAATTCAGCGCCGAA